AGATAAATTGAAAGCCAAGCAGGTGAGGAGAATTAGAGTTAGCATATCTTCAATCACAGACACTTGGATGCAATTTGGGTAAAGTGAAAAAAAATTGGAAAAGTGGATAGTCAATCGACAGAGGATCGAAAGTTGCAACGTTTGAAAGTGTCTTTATCTCGTTTTTTCAATAGAATTGTAACCTGTGATGAGAAATGGATACTGTACGATGATCGTACGCGATCCGGGCAATTATTGGACGCTGTGATAATTCATTGTTCTTTTCTGAGACCATCCTAAGCTATTCTTCTGCTCGCAAAAAAATGAAATCTTAATCCATCATCTGATATTTCATCGATCGAATTATTTTCGACGCTCGAGAATCTTGTAATTGTTCGAGGAATTTCGTGTGAAGTTTTGTAAAAAGAAAAAATTGGAATCTCGTTGTTCAAAAAGGCCATTAAAGCCAATGGCCAATCGTTCGAACAATGATCGTAATATCGAAAGCGCATCGTTTTTCTTCGAACCAAGGAAAAGTAGGATGGCAAGATCGAACGATTCCAAAGCGGAAAAAGAAACATCCGTCTTTTCGTCCTTCGAACGGTTCGTTCGTAACAACGATTAACGAGGCAACGAGTAAATATTTAAGGAGGAGAGTTTGAGAACGAGAAGCGAAATCGTCGCGTTTTCAAACTAATATCGAAATTTCAGGAGTCGAAAGTTGGTTGGGGCCAAGTTCGACGACAAATGGAAGCGGAAAGTTAGGGCTGGAAACGATACACTTGGTCCATTTCCAAAATTACGGGGAACAGGAACTTTTGCCGCCGCGCGAAATTTCACACGGCATCCTCGAACCGAGTTCTTCCTCCTCCTCCTCCTCCTCAAGAATGGATGCGAGTCGATGGTTTATCGAGCGGAAGTTTCGCTTCGCGCTACTATCTTATCCATTTAATTGCTCCCCCCCTTCGAGTTGAGGATCAGGGAGGATCTGGTGCAAAGTTTTTGGAGAAAAGTTACGACGCGGGAAAAAATGATTTGCCGTGTTCGATCGCGTGATTATTACGGGTGGAAAATGTGGGGATTTATTTCGAAACACTTTGATACTTTGGAGAGAATTTAGTCTTGGGAAGCTTGGGCCTCTTACGGAGAATTTGTTTCGAAGAAATCGTGATTCCTTTTGGAGAATTTATTTTGATGAAACGTTGGTCGTGGCCCTTTTCAAGAATTTAATACCGAAACTTCTTTTAAATATATATTTCGAAAGAGAATTTTTAGGGAATTTAAACGCTTCGATTCTTTACGTCGAATAATATTTACGTTTAATTTTGCTTGTTTTTTAAAAAAAAAGAAGCTTATCTCTCTGTTAATTTAATTAAAATTCGATGAAACGTCTTGGAAAAAAAAACTTTATCCGAAATGGTGAATCGAAATTCGCTCGTGTTGAAGTTGGAAATAAAGGAGGATAAAGTCGTATAACGAGACGAGAAAGGAGTCGAGATGAGGAAGTAGAGAGAGCCGCTTCCATGGAATCGTCTAGAAAGAAGCTTTTAGAGGTGCGGATAATTACAGGACGCGCTTGGATCCTGTTACACAGTGACTACGCTTTTAATGGCTCGCCAACCGGCCACACCATCAACGGGTTAATTGAGTTAACCGAGCACTTCGTCATCTTCCCATCGAGTATCGTGATTCTGTATCAACGTGAAACCTTGATGGTCCCCGATATTTTTCGATAAATATCGTGGCGGGCACAACAAACTTTACGATACGAACACGAACTTTCTTCTCGCAGCTTTACAAAAAAAAAATCGAGAAAAACGTGTAATCGAACGCGAAAATTGGATATTTTAATCTCGTAGCAAAATAATTAAACAATAAAACCATTTGCTTCCTTCGAAATTCCAACGTGTTTTATCGAATTATTAATCGATCCGCATTAAAAATAAATATCACAAACGATCTACAAAGGATTGATGGATCATTTGGATAAATATCGTTTGAAAAGAAAAATTGGCAATCGACGTAGGGAAAGATAAATAAATGTCCCGGTGGTGTATAATCGAATACGCGGTTCCCACGAAATTAACGGCAAGCTTGGACGCCTTGATCGAGCCGCATGGGCGAGGGAGGGAGAGCTGGCATCCCACAAAGCCCCCCTCTCTCCCAGGGCTCGCTCGACGAGCTAGCATCGCGCGTATCTGTCGGCATACTAAATGAAAATCTATCGAATAAATATTGACGTTGATGCGGCTCCCGATGCAGCTTCCTGCTTGTTTGCCGATTAACGGACCTCGGTTTATCACGAGCCACGTGCATGTGTATTATAATCGATCGGACGCGGGCCATGAGAATCCGCCATGCGGTTCGTTACGCGTCGAACTTGGATTTGTATGGAAGCGAATTGAACGTTTTCGTTTCTTTTCTTTTTTTTTTTTTTTTCCAAATACCCTTTATCCCTCCTCTTGGAAACAACGTGAACGAAGGATCGATCCTCCGCTTTGTCCTTTAATTCAACTCGTTTATTTCGAGCTTGTATTTCACAGGTTTTATAGATTATTCGCTCGATTGAAAATATTTAGATTTGTCTTGATTTAGTATTTTTTTTTTTTCTTTTACAATTTTAAAATTCGTTCGTGTTTTTCTCTCTCTCTCTCTCTCTTTCAAATTTCGAATCTTATTATATGCGAAGTGAAATTGAAATAAGAAGGGGAGGGGAAAGGAAGAAAAGAAAAGGAAAGGAAAGGAAAGAAGGGAAGAATTTAAATAAGAGGGGGAAAGAAATGGTCGCTAAAGAGAACGTAACGATCGGAAATATTGTAGTTGGAGGGACGATGAGGGAGGGAGCCGTTTATGCGCATCACTACATGAAATATACATGATGGTTTCGAGCGAACTCGTCGTCTATGATGTCTCTTGGGGATGATTTGCATGCTTCGCACCGTGAAACGTTATTTAACGATGAATTTCGGTAACATCGAAAGTGAATTCTAACGCGAAACTGCATTAATACCGGTTGCATACAGATGTCACGCGCGCATACCATCCCGAGCGCCAAACTAATTCTAACGCGATTCCTAACTTTCGTCGATACACTGTTTGAAAACATTCGCTTACTTTTTTCACGAGTGTGTAATTTTTTTTTTTTTTTTTTTTTTACTTTTCCTTTTCTTTCGCAAGCGATATTCGCAGCAATATTGTAAAATGTTGGAAAGGAAAAATCAAAAAACACTTCGTCCAGTAATACAGTTTAGTAATACAAGGTGTATTGAAATATATTAGGTACATCTGCATGGAAAGTTGATATTTTGTAAAATTAGATCGAAGTTTCGCAAAATTAAAATTTTCCCGTTCAAAATACCTCAAATATATATATATGTAAAATAGATATTTTTTTAAAATTAAATCTTCCATCGATCGAAATCGAAAAAATATTCTCTCATCGATCCTCCCAAATTTCCAAACACTTGGAAATTCCTCTCTCGTAAAGTCGTAGCAAAGTTTATAAATAAGACGTTTTCAATAATCGCTTACCATTCGCGATACTTTTCTCGAAAAGTGCTGCATTAAACTCCTATTCGAAATTTCATCCGAAATCGATACTCTCTCTTCTTTAATTTCTCCGCCCATCTCGCTGTATCTCGTTCCAGAAGTTGCAGAAATTCCGTGCACATAATGATATTTCGCGGAAGGGGGTGAAGGGATCGGTAAGAAATTACGATTTCATGAATTCGAAATCCATATCCGTGGTGGCGGCTTCTTCCGCGAGAAACTTACCACGGCGGTGAAGAGGAGGGGGGGGAGGGGTTCGAGATGGTATTTTTCAACGATCCGCCGCAACAGCTTGCGCGGAATAACCGCGCCGATCGCATGCTGATTAGCAATTTCGCGAGTGCGGCGAAATCTTCGCTGGAGAAGAGATTTTTTTCTCTTCGATCTTTTCTTTTTTTTTCTTATTTCGAAACTTCGTTCGAACTTGAACGATTTTGATCGATTAAATGAATGTCGGTCGACTCGAATGGAATTCGAATCGAATCGAAGTTATTTCTTTATCTGTGTAATTATATTTTGCAGATTCGGCGTCTGTAAAAGTAATCCGTTAAAAACGCTACGTTGCAAATGTTATTTTCTAAAATTTATCCTAGAAATTTATTATCTAGAAAATCGATTTGACGATCGAAATTATTGGCATATGAATACAACAAATTCTCTACTGTTCCCTTTTGGGTATATTTTGGATATATTTTGGACGGAATGCACATGACGTGCGAAATATTCAAAATGCGATAATTATATTCGAGAAATATTACTACTTCAATCACCAATTTCAATCTCTATCATTACTTAAGTCATCCATTTCTTTATTTGTATTTGTAAAAATACGATTTTGAACGATTTTGAACGAATGAACAACCACTATTTACTTCTCTCGCCCCAATGATAAATTGTAATTATATTGGAGAAATATTACTACTTCAACCGCTAATTTCAATCTCTATCATTACTTAAGTCATCCATTTCTTTACTTGTATTTGTAAAAATACGATTTTGCATAAAACACGCGAAATAATAATGGACATCCACTATTTACCTCCCTCGCCCCAATAATAAATTATAATTATATTCAAGGAATATTTCTGCTTCAATCGCTATCGTTACTTAACCCGTCCATTTCTTTACCCGAATTCGTAAAGATACGATTTTGCATAAAACACGTAAAAACGTGCAAAATAATTAAAATAATAACGAACAACCGCTATTTACCTCCCTCGTCCCAATAACAAATTAAAGGAATAATACTACTTCAATCGCTAATTTCAATCGCTATCGTTACTTAACCCGTCCACTTCTTTACCCGTAAAAAACACGATTTTATATAAAACGCGTAAGAGCACGAAACGAGATAAAAATAATAACGAACAACCGCTAATTACCTCCCACCACAATAATCGCGTGTCCCCTCGTAATCCCCGTTCAGACCGATCACCGTCGCTCACGTTTTTTCTCGTTTTTTTTTGTTCCAGGACCCGCATCCCCGTTGGCCGAGCTTCACGGATACACCCGTTGCGGCCACGCTTTGGTATTGAAGGGGTTGGTTTTCCCTCAGTGGAAGAGGCGGCCACTGGCCGTCATCGGATCCAGGCTGTTCCTTTATCCAGGTATGCGATTCCACAAATCCAACCGCCCTCTCCCCTATACATGGATAAGGAACCGAGAGGGTTCTAAGACCTGTCGGATATAAGGGACGCACAGGCTTTATCTCTCGCTCCCTTGCTCCATTTCTTGCAACTTGCAATTATTGAAACGTGAATCATCCTGAGAGTACGATTCTTGGACGTTATCGAGGAACGTCGAAGCGTTGATCTTCTTTTTGTGTGTGTGTGTGTGTGTGTGTGTATTGTAAAGCGATGTTGACACAGTTTTTCGTTTTTATTACGGAGGGATTTACATTGAGTCTTTTGCATCGTTCGAATTCGTGAAATAATTTGAGGCTTGGAATTAGGATGAGTGGAAGGTGTTAGGTGTTTTATATTATTGGAATAGTTAAATAGATTTTTTGAATCGAAGGATTGTTAATTTTCTTCTTTCTTTTCATTTAATTTGAAAAGTTGCTTTGGAATAAAGCGAGGGTTACCGAGGAACGTCGAAGCGTTGATCTTCTTTTTTTTTTTTTTTTTGTATATTGTAAAGCGATGTTGATACAGTTTTTAGTTCTTATTATTCGTGAAATAATTTGAGGTTTGGAATTAGGATGAGTGGAATTAGGAGGTGTTTTGTATTATTGAAATTGTTAAATAGAATTTTTGGATCGATATAATTTTTTTCTTTTCATTTAATTTGAAAAGTTGCTTTGGAATGAAGCGAGAAATATTCGTGTTAATTATTTTATATTATTTCGGAAGATTGGAATAAATGGAAGATCGTTGGTTCGAAGTAGAATGATCGAAAGGATAGAAAAGTTTATTTTACAAATTATTCGTGTTCTCGTTTTCGAGGAAAAAGGAATTTTCACGATCACATATGTATACTGGTTTTTGCCGCGCGATGGCTACTGAAATTCGTAATTTAACTTTGTAATTTTCATTCGACGATCAAAACTTCCGTAAACTCGTTTCGAGGAAGTTTCAACTTATAAATCTCGTTCCTCCGAGTCCGCCACTCTCGATTGTTTCCCCGTTTTCTTGTGTCCTCGATTTTTATAGTTTCAACTTCCGGCCAAGGTATCGAGTGTTTCCACTTCACGATATAAAAATATACCCGGGAGAGTAGAGAGATTCGAAGAAAAGGAATTAATACACTTTCAGAATAGAAAAGTTGGCTCGATGTTGTGGAAAACTTGTGACGAGATCTTCGAGATATTCCACGAACTAATTGAACATTTTAACGAATAAAGTTCATCGTTTTAATAATTTCGAGAATACGAAAATAAAGATCAATCGCCACAAAATATACAAAAGTACCTGTAATAATCGTACAAATTTAATAAAAACTTCTATCGGTGTAATTCCACGAAAGATTCAATCTTTCAACAATTTTTTCATTCCGTGAAATTTCAAATTTTTGAAAATTCATACATCGAAAAATACACACACACACATATATATATATATATACATTTACACAAAATTTTCCTTACCAATTACCATGGAAAATGAATTCCATTATAATCGAGAACGTAACGAAATTCATCGAAATTAATCCCTCGTTGTACAAATTTCTTTCGTTACACGCGGATCTGGAAATTCAAAACTTCCTTCTAACTTAAAAAACATTTTGAACAAATTAAACCTTTGAACACCATGTGAACGAGAATGTAACGAAATCACAATTGAACAAATCCTTGGAAACATTATCAAAATCTTTCCTTCAACGACCGAAGATGAAGATACATTTTCTCGATTCGGTTGAAATTTCGCGATAGAATCGTTTTGTCCGCAGATACGTCTCGTGGAAAGAAAACACGTCCGATATCGAGCGGCGCAATTTATGTTCGGCTTTGATTTATCCAGGAAGGAAAGGGGTGTAGTACGTCTATCAATCGTCGGATTCGACGATATCGGTTGAAACCTAAGGCACGAGTGACCCTCCCCTCTCCCTCGAATGACTGATAACCGAACTTTAAATTGGATTTTCTTCCGGAACGAAGAGAGTTGACCATATCCGAGATAAGAAACCGTGGATAAAAACACATGCCGCGCTAGCTCGAGACGAGATGGAATCGGTTGGCTAATCCTGGTTTCAGACGGATGTCTGGGGAAAGAAACGGTGGTATTGTAATGAAAGGAAGGGCAGAAGAGGGGAGGGAAAACGAGGGAAGAAGAAGCGCGCTTTGTTCGAAACTTGTTGAGCGAAGCTTCGAAGTACGGATTAATCGTGTTACTCGAAGATTCGATTTCTTGTTCCTCGAGACTCGAAGGGAATAATAATTAATTAGTTGGGATACCGGGCTATTTCTTTTGTTTCTTGCGGATATTTTTTTCAAATTGAATCCAAATAATTCTCTTTTTGTTCTGCCAAGCTTTCTTCCTGAAGATTTTTGAATTTGCATCAACTAAGAATTTAAATTATTTTTAAATTCGATTCGTTTGCGATCGAATATGGTGGATTCGAAGGGCGATCGAAATCAGGGTTTAAAAGGATATTGAGGATATTTCGCAACGCGTGCTCGAGGATTCAAAGAAATGGTGTTTCGAAGAAGAAGTATACGAAAATATATCAATATTAATTCCACGTAATTCGAACGAGAGTATCAAGGTGTATGAAAACCGCATATGCAATTCACAATGCTCGACAAAGTCTAAGATGAATCAAATATCGTGTTCCAACGGAGTATCGTCAACGAATGTTAAAAAAAAAGAAAGAACCGAAGAATCCTTTTCAATTTCTTTTATAAAACTTTAATGTTGAATTCGAATATCGTTTGGACGCGTTTCAATCCTCTGTCCATTTTTGCGCGGGCGTCAACGAGTTCTTTCGAAAGATGAAGGCACGTCGGTCGAGGGTGGAACGAAAACTCCTCCCCCACGAAACACCATGATTTATCTACGTCCTGTCCCTTATCCTCGTGGAACGATTCTGTCACCGTTTCTGTCTGGCACGGATCAAGAATTTCTTCTTCAAGAAAGAAAAGGATTTATCGCGTTGACACGCAATTACGATTTCAAGCATCCTTCGAGCGAGGGAAGTTGATCGTTTCGAAATGATATCGAGATGGCGATCATTGAATTTCGTATGTCTTTTTTTTTAGAAAGGAGAATATATGTGTATATAGAGAGAAAGAAATTCGTTACTTGGAAATTGTATTATTTGTATTTTTATCGACATATTTTGAAGTTTGATGGGTATTCGAAAATTTTGTGATACGATGAAAAGGATGAAATATTGTGGCAATAAAGGATGAGAAGGGGAAATATAGTATAAAGAAGGATGTATTATAATATAATTTGAATTTTGATACTTGGAAATTGTATTACTATATTCTTATTAATAATTTGAATCGATGTTTCTCCACATTTTGTTCATCGAAAATATTATATTTTATTTTAACGAGAAATTTAAGGAAATTTAATATTTTGAAATTATATACTTTATACACTTTTTGTTATTTAATAATTTAATTTGAATCGAGACCTGTTTGAAATTTTATAATGCAAATCGTTACTTTATTCGTGACTTTATCAAAAATCAATAATCTGTATATTTAAATCCAGTAGAAGAACGTTCTCTAAATTACATTGGAATTGAAAAAAAAAAAAATCATAATTCGATCAATACTTTCCAAACTACAAACCTCTCAAACTCAACTACTCAAGGAATCTCTTCTCAAAAAAAAAAGAAATCTGACCATTTCGATCGTCAAGAAAAATCTTTTTAAAGATTATTTATTTGTATATAAAATTTAAACAACCCTTGCTCGATAATTATCCAAACATACAAAATTCATTCCGTGACGCGATATTCCCCCTAATCCCGGGGAAAAAACGAGCCATAAATTGCCATAAACTGACGTGGAGGGAAGGATCGTATTTCTCATTAAAGGATGGAACGAACGAATCTCCTCTTAACCGAGGAGACAGTTGGCGGAGGATCCGTGGTGGAAAGATAATCCACGGTATCGGATCAGCGATAGGAGCTAATCGCTTCTCTGTCCACCGCGGGAATCGATAGTCGTGCTCTCGTCGCAAGGAGGGGGGAGGGAAGGGGGACATGTCGACCGAGCTGTCGATCGTAAATTGCACGGTGCGAGAGGAAGAGAGAGAGAGAGAGAGAGAGAGTGAATAGAAGAAAAAGTAAGAGAGAAGAGAAACAATGCGCGCCGCTCGGATGAAACGAAACGAAACGAAACGAAACGAAACTGGCGAAAAACGAAGTGTCTTGTTCGTGAATTAATCGATCGGCAAGTTTTTTCGGCGCTCTGCGTGTACGTGTTCCGTGCAGGAGTATATCTCGAAAGCGTCGAGGAGGGAGGAAACGAAACTGTGGGGAAAGAGAGAGGGAGAGGAAATAGAAATGGAAGAATCGAGGAACGACCTCGACTGTCGAAGCTGAGGAAAATGAGGGAGGAAGAAGCGTGAGGGGCAAACGCGAATTTTAAGGGTCGATCGATCGTGTGAAAGGGACAAAGTTGGAATAAATAAAAGTGTGAAACGAGATAAAGGTTAGAAGAAACGTGGAGGTATCGATGATTGAACGAAGAGAGAGAGTCTGTTGAGGGAACGGAAGAACAGAAGGAACGAGCGGGAAAAAAGGAAGAAAGGAGGAAAAGGGAAGAGAGAGAAACTGAAAAACTGATATCGTTGGAGGGAATCTTTAAAAGATAGAAATAGAGGTAAAAATAAAGATGGGGAAAAGGAATGAGAAAAAGAACGATGTGAATGATTAGATAGGAATCTTTGGAGAAGAGAAATTCAAGAGAGAAAAAAAAAAAGAAGGAAAGAAAGAAAAATAAAATAAATCGAAGAAAGAACGAGAGAAATTGGGACGACGTTGACGATTGGAGTAGATCTTCTGGAAAAGAGAGAGATTCGAATAATGGGGAAATGGAAGTAAATAAGGAAAGATGGGAGAAAGAGACGTGGAGTGATATAGATTGAAAGGGAATCTTTGACAGATCCGAATGATGGCGAAAATAAAATGAATAAAAGAGGAAGAATAAAGG